CTCTACCACTTGAGCCACAGTGCCACTTCCAGCTTTTTCTTTTTGCTTATGTGGTGCTGAGGAATCAAACCCAGGGCCTCATGCATGCAAGACAAGTGCTCTACCACTGAGCCACCTTCCCAGCCCCAAGTCCTGGAGACTCTTATCTCCAGTAAATCACCAGAAAACTGGAAGTGGCGCTGTGGCTCAAGTGGTAGAGTGCTTGTCTTGAGCTGAAGAGCTGAGGGACAGTGTCCAGGCCCAGAATTCAAGCCCCAGGACCAACAAAAAAAGAAAAAAAAAAGCATAGTCTACATATGAGAAACTTTGTAAAAGTACCCAAGAAAAACTAACTTTTGAATATTCTAACATAAACCCAACTTTACAGAGCATGATTGTAAAGAGAGAAAGACTAGGAAAATGGGTGATGGTGAGATATCCTCTTGTTTTCCCATCCCTACATCTGGAGTAAGAAGGCATTGCTCACCCTGCACAAGGACATCCTGCATGATGTCCTGGGCACGTGGATTATGTGTCTGTATTGCATACTGACATAATGCTGCTGCCATCCTCACATTGGAATTCTTGTCATAAAGAGCAGCTTCCAGGGCAGGCTGTAGAGCATCTGGCAAGTCCTTGATAACTGGGATTTTCCCAAACCCTGTGATTAAATGAGAGTGAGGTAAGAGTACCAGCTCTTTGCTTTTCTCTTTAATGTACACCACTTCCTTCCCAAGGCTTCTGTTTCTTGCAGGTGCTTATAATATTTATTAATAAAGTCACAGTTCAACTTTGCTTCCTTCTGCTCAGGGGATTAGAGTTTGTATCTAAGCTGGTATTCCAGTTCTTGATCTTTTATCATCTGGCCTCTGGTATTGAGGTCAAAGATGAATGTTTCTAGGTAGGTTAGGGTGACCTTCATCATTATTTTCAGTGATAAAAAACAAATGGTCTCAGGGCTGGGAAGGTGGCTCAGTGGTAGAGCGCTTGCCTTGCATGCCTGAGGCCCTGGGTTCGATTCCTCAGCACCACATAAGCAAAAAGAAAAAATCCAGAAGTGATGCTGTGGCTCAAGTGGCAGAGTGCTAGCCTTGAGCTGAAGAGCTGAGGGACAGCGCCCAAGCCCAGAGTTCAGGCCCCACAACCGGACCCCCCCCAAAAAAATGGTCTCTCCTAACCCCACCTATTTACCCCATGATGTTTTGTTTTGTTTTACTTTTTGTGCTCGTACCAAGGCTTGAACTCCGAACCTTGCACACTCACTTAGCTTTTTTCTCTCATGGTTGGCACCAGTTGAGTCACACCTCCACCTCTGGCTTTTTGCTGATTAATTGGAAAAAGAGTCTTAAGGACTTTTCTGCCTAAGCTGGCTTTGAAATCTGACTCTCTGATATCAACCTGAATAGCTAAGATTATAGGCATGATCCACCAGCATGTGGCCCTATGAGGTTTTATATTGTTAATAATTGTAGCTCACTTAAGCAATACTTTGTACTTCTATATTGTTGCACTCTGCCTTTCAACTCTGATTGAATTAGGCAAGGTATATATCATTCCAGAACTAACTGGGGAGGTTCACAAAACTATGATAGTCCACACATAAGACAGAAACACTATTAATAGGGTAGCAGTGTCACGCATTCTTTGGTTATGTAGCATTTTGGTTATGTAGCATTTCACAGTGTTCTGGAGTATAAAGTTTGCTCTGTGTAAACTTGTGTTCCACAAGCAGTAAAATGTCTGGTATCTCATCTCAATAGATAGATTTGTAGTCCACAAGCTGGGCACTGGTGGCTTACACCTGTAATCCTAGCTACTCAGGAGGCTGAAATCTGAAGGTTTTGGTTCAGAGCCAGCCCCATCAGGGAAGAATCTCCAATTAACCACCAGGAGACTAGAAGTGGTGCTGTGGCTCAAGTGGTAGAGCACCTGCCTTGAGCTGAAGAGCTCAGGGACAGTGCACAGGCCCAGAGTTCAAGCCCCATGACCGACCCCCCCCAAAAAAATTCTAATCCACAAAGGGCATGCCTGTGAAGAATTACAGCATTTACCTTACATCATACCCTTACCAAAAGAGCAACTAGCCCAAATTCTGAAGTAGAATAGGAAAGGGTACCTCTTTGTTTAATCTCAGCTAAGCTTCAAGGCCCCTATCAGTTTAGAGGTTCAGTGGCTTTATGAAACTGTAGATGTTCTCAAGCTGCTCTCACCTGAATCACTTTGTGTGATAGTAGTCCTTGGCCTTTCCAAAGCAGCTGTGGCGCATGTAACGATGGCTTGTATACGAATGTCATCATACATGTTTACCAAGCTCTGCCTTAGGCTCTCCACTGTCTCATGGTGCCACTCAATAACTATATCACAATGAAGATGGCAAGAAGAGAACCTAGTTAGGGTTAGAACTGTGCTAAAAATAGTGACAAAAGCCCCCTTTCTCAATATTTACTCAAGTAAAATATTAGCTCAGAAGAATAAAGAATTCAGAAAGGATCTCTTTAGGAAAGTTAATTCTTTGATTATTTAATTACCTCTCAGATAATTGCCCCTACTCATCCTCTATTGAGTTTTTTTTCCCCTTAAATAATGTATGGTTATTTTTGTTGTTTGGCAATCCTGGGGCTTAAACTCAGGGACTGAGCACTTTCCCTGAGCTTTATTTGCTCAAGGCTAGTGCTCTATCACTTGAGCCACAGCTCCATTTCTAGCTTTTGAGGGTTTGTTTGGAGATAAAGAGTCTCATAGACTTTGAGCCCAGGAGTTGAAGACCAGCTAGGGCAAAAAATTGATAATCTCATTTATACTGGATTACTTTTTAGGTTAAATGTGTTAACTGGAAAATGCAGGCAAGATAATGAAAGTTCAGAGGGTATGGCTCAAGTAGTAGAGAACTTATTTAGAATGTTTGAGGCCCTGGGTTTAATAAATAAGCAAATAAGTTTGCATAGGCTTATTTTGAAAACTAAAAGAAAAGAGGTCAACAAATGCTATTACCCTTTGACAGGGATGGAACCCAAAGCCTTGTGCTTGTTAGGCAAACACTCTACCACTGATCTCCAGTCCTCGTACAACAAAGTAATCATTTATTTATTAGATTTTCTTGCCTTTAAGGGTTATTCAATCCAGCTTTCAGTATCTTCCTCATTTCAGTTGCTAATAGCTCTCTTTGCAAGAATAATTTTATTTCAGTGCTCTTACTATGTGTTCATGTTCTTTGCTAACATCTTTCTTTGCAGGAATACTTTTTATTCTGTGCTCTTACTATGTGTAGGTGCTCTCCACTCTAGCTTTTTTGTTGTTGTTGGTTGTCGGGCTTGAACTCCAGGCCTGGTTGCTGTCCCTGAGCTCTTGAGCTCAAGGCTAACGCTCTACTACTTGAGCCACGGTGCCACTTCTGGTTTTCTGGTGGTTAATTGGAAATAAGAGTCTCATGGATATTCTTGCCTGGACTGGCTTTGAACCACAATCCTCAGAGCTCAGCCACCTGAGTAGCTAGGATTACAGGCATGAGCTACCAGTGCCCAGCTTCCACTCTAGCTTGTATTCAGCATCTGTTTTCAACCTTTTTGTTTCCTGACCCAGTTTACCTAGTCGGATCCTGCACTAACTAAATTAGTCTGTTATTTTCTGAAGGTTGACAGTCTTAGAGTTGTCAACTATTGTAGCTTCCAATAGTGTTAGCTAGGCCATTACTTTGCCAAGGGCTCAACTTGGTCCTTAATTATCTTTGAAGGAAGAGCAGATACATAATAACCTTAATTTTACAATTGAAGTCCTTAATACCAGTTGCCTGCATTTTATCCTCAGAAATACACACCAGTTATCTTGGCCCTGTTTTGACTCACTGAATTCCCAGGCTTTCTTCCACTCCTGTAGCATCTTCCGTAGGACCACCAGTTCCCAAGTCACTTCTTCCTTCAGTGGAGTCACTTGCTTCTTCAGTCTCCTAGTCTTGATGGACGTATCTTCCTCACCTAATTGCATCGTCTGATCCTTGATTAGGGTAGGCAAAGCAATCCAACGCTGGGCTCCTCTCATAGGCCTAAAAGCTGTACAATGGGACAGGATGAGGCCTCACTTGATTGTGTTAGGCCCTGCCAATAGTAGTCCCAGCTAGCACTTCATTCCTATTCTTATAACACCAAAGCAAAACAACCAAGTAATTTGCTTTGATAAAGAAATAAACTTTTTTTTTTTTTTGGTCTGTTGTGGGCTTGAACTCTGAGCCTGGGCGCTGTCCCTGAGCTCTTCAGCTCAAGGCTAGCAATTTACCACTTGAGCCACAGTGCCACTTCTGGTTTTCTAGTGGTTTATTGGAGATAAGAGTGTCATGGACTTTCCTGCTCAGGCTGGCTTTGAACCACAATCCTCAGATCTCAGCCTCCTGATTAGCTAAGATAACAGGTGAGCCACCGGCACCCGGCAGAAATAAACCTTTTTATAAGTAGAATAAATCATCAGGAACACAAATAACTTGCCAAGGTGCAACTGAAGATTTGTGGGAGTACTTTCTCCATGCATTGTCACTGTGGACCCTTGACAAAGGAACGTGTATGTTGGGGAAGCTGTCCATAGCTGCCCTTACTACCACCTCCTCTACCCCGGCGGCCATTGCCTGTTCCCGTAGCACTAATGACCATTGTTTGAGCTTGCCGAAAAAAGAATGTCTCAGTCACTACTACTATTAGTGTCTATTCACCATAGGAATCCTCTGAACAGAGATGCTACAAAGAAGAAAGTAATGGGAAATGGAGAGATGGTTTCTTCAGGGATGGGCGCATTTTGTTACATTGCTAATGTGTGTGTGTTCTTGCTTCCTACCACAATCTTTGTCTTATGGTGATATATTCATGAAACTGAAACTTATAAGAAGGGAAGACTAAAATTTGAGGCAAGGGTGGGCCTAGGAATGGATTAGGAAAATTGAGTCAGCCCAAGGGAATAGGGGACAGTGGGGGGGGGGGTGAGGAGTTTGATGTACTTCATGTTGAGGCGTTAAGATACCTGGACTATTGCAATGACACTAACGCACTTGATTACACCAAAATTATATCTGTCTAACTGAAAATATGGTCCACCCAATCTCTTCCTACTAAACAATATACAGTGTAGCTTTATGAGGTGATTTTTTTCATTGCTGGTGGTGCCTCAGCCTAGAAACTAGGGACTTGGCCCACAAACTAAAGAAGTAGCCACACTTCCATCATGACCCAGCCCCCCACTACCAGCTTCCTGCTTACGTGCTTCAGGAACAGGCTGGGAACTCCACTTTTCTGGAGTTTCAGGAAAGATCTTGGATAGCTGCTTGCTGTACTTATGGGCATTTTCCAGAAGAATCTGGTCCTTCCTTCCACCAATCTGGTGGACAATCTTGACTTCATCTGTGAATAAAAAAACAACTCTTGGTGACATTGCAACTCCATTGTCCGTCCACTCCTTCCTTAGTAAAGTACACACAGGAGGGAGAAGAGAGAACGGTTTGCTTTCCACCAGCACTTTCCTTCACCCTCTGGAAAGTCCTGTGTTAGTCCCCAGGGAATAGACGGCAAGCACCTGGGGTCATCCCCATCGGGACTGTTCCTGTCCCCAGCTGTCCTTACCTCCCTGTCCCAAGCTCACCTCTGCCCCCCACAGCGCTCAGTGCTATTACCAAAGTAAATCTCCTGCTCAAAGACATTGTCTGTAGAGTAAGCAAACTCTCCAGCTTTAGGATTCACTTGTCGAAAGGAGCTCTCCTCTACTGGCTCTATGGGTCTTTTAATTTCCTTGAGATCCTTAGCTGTCATATTGTCAGGCATGGCTTCAGTTGTCTCTTCTTGTGGAGAGTAACCTGGTAATCTTGGCAGGGATAGAGAGAGGGGAAGGGAAAGAAAAGGGGAAAGTGTTCCTCTTTCTGTTTGGTCCACAGCTCTAAAGCCCACTTAAGTTCAGTTCCTGCATGAGCATCTGAAGAACACCTGTTTTTCATTATTATTCTTATTCCCAAGGTGGCATTTGAATGTGAAGCCATCAGAGGGACCTGTCTTCAGCTACCTCAGCCCTCACTGATGGAGCCACCTTACAGCCACTGGGCAATTTTACAGGGGAGCCATGCTTCCAGCACAATCTTTTTTTTTTTGTCGGTCGTGGGGCTTGAACTCTGGGCCTGGGCGCTGTCCCTCAGCTCTTCAGCTCAAGGCGAGCGCTCTACCACTTGAGCTACAGCGCCACTTCCGGTTTTCTGGTGGTTTATTGAAGATAGGAGTCTCACGGTCTCTCCTGCCCTGGCTGGCTTTGAACTGCAATCCTCAGATCTCAGCCTCCTGAGTAGCTAGGATTACAGGCGTGAGCCACCAGCACCCAGCCAGCACAATCTTTTTTTTTTTCTCTTTATTTTCTTTTTTTTTTAACATTAGCTCCCTTAGAGGTTGCATGGATTTGGAGAGAGGAATCCAACCTTCTACATTACTTATACTATCTAGTATGTGTGTGTGCTTATTTAATGTCTGTCCACTGACTGGACTCATTTGTTGCTAGCACTTCACAGACTACCTGAAAGTAGCAAGAATACAACTTGTATTTGTTCAATAAATCAGCAAATAAATAGAATTCCATTCCCTTTATTTCCCTTGGGAAGTCATATATATATATATATATATATATATATATATATATGAATGATAGCTCCAGAAGGAAGAAAGGAAGAAATAGAATTAAAGGAAGAGGCTGGGAATGTGGCTTAGTGGTAGACTGCTTGCATGCATGAAGCCCTGGGTTTGATTCCTCAGTATCATATAAATAGAAAAAGCCAGAAGTGGTGCTGTGGCTCAAGTAATAGAGTGTTGGCCTTGAGCAAAAGATGCTCAGGAAAAAAAAAAAAAAAGAAGCAGCTCAGGGACAGTGTTCATGCCCTGAGTTCAAGCCCCAGGACTGGGGGGAAACAAAGGAAAGAATTGAAGCAAGAAATCTGAGAAATATGGAGTCATCTTCTCTCAGGTTGCTTAGTTCCCAGTCCTGCAGTTGGTTGAATTTGGGGAAGTAACATGCTGCCTCCTTATTCAAAATATGGCAAGATATAAACCTCAGTGCCATGAGGTAAATGTCTTATTTCTCAGTCTGGAGGCATTTCTGAGGGTAGTTAGATCAACAGTCTGACTTCTAGGGAAGGCTGAGAACCAAATCTTTTTTTTTTTTTTTTTTGGTGCTGGTCTTGGGGCTTGAACTAAGGTCCTATGTGCTGTTCCTGACCTCCTTTTGTCAAGGCTAGCACTCTACACTGGATCCATAACTCCACTTCCATTTTTCTTTTGTAGTTTATTAGAGGTAAGAGTCATGGACTTTCCTATCCTGGCTGGTTTCGAGCTGTGATCTTCAGATCTCAACCTCCTGAGTAGCTAGGATTACAGAGACCTGCAAGAACCAAACTTTTTTTTTTAATATTTTATTTTATTTATTTATTTTTGGGTCCAGTCATGAGGCCTGAACTGTGGGCCTGGGCGCTGTCCCTCAGCTCTTCAGCTCAAGGCTAGTGCTCTACCACTTGAGCCACAGCGCCACTTCCGGCTTTTTTCTTTTTGCTTATGTGGTGCTGAGGAATTGAACCCAGGGCCTCAGGCATGCAAGGCAAGTGCTCTACCACTGAGCCACCTTCCCAGCCCCAAGAACCAAACTTTTTAAGGCAATGGCTTTCAACTAGGGGTAGTTTTGCTCCTTAGGGGCATTTGGCTGTACTGAGGCATCTTTAGTTGTAACTACTCAGAGAGGATTGCTACTGGCATCTAGTGAATAGAGAGGCCAGGGGTACTGCTACCATCCTACAGAGCACAGGACAGCCACTCATAACAAAATATCTAACCCAGTGGTATAGACTGTGAAGCCTCTCTCCTTCCCTTCCTCCCCCTCTTCATTCCTTTGTGTGTGTGTGTGTGACAGGGTCCAGGGTAGCCTTCAAGTCATTATATAGCCCTAGATTTCATCAAGCTCATAACCTTCCTGCCACTGCCTCTCAAATGCTAGTTTTATAGGTGTGCATTCCCAACCCTTATTTTGAGATCTCAGGAGAGCAGGTTGCTAATGGAGAACATGGTTGAAGAGAAAGGGCACAAGGGAATACAATATGAGTTTGGGATGCAGATCAGGTGGTAGTATGCTTGCTAACCTGTGTGAACCCTTTCTGGGTTCCATCCCCAGTAAGTCAACAAGTAAGATCAGGAGTGGGAGACTTTGAAGAAGGGGAGCCAGGGGGTTCTCAAAGGTTCACATAAGGCCAGGGAGACCCTGGCCAGCCTACCTGTAGTAAACAGGAAGCAGCAGATCGGGCTTCTTTGTTTCCTCAGAGTGCAGGGTGATAGTTTCATCCTCCAATTCTGCAGTCTCTTCGGCCTCCAGCTGTTTGAGGAGCTCCAGGTCGCTGGCAGAGGAGAGTTCATCCCGGATGTGGCTCCAGTCATACTGCTGGTGCAAGAAGCTTTGCCACTTGTTGGGCACTGCGCCAGGTGCGGGTCTCTGAGGAAACTTGCTCTGGATCCATCGCGCGGTGCGCTTGTTCAGCTTTCCCAGCACAATGGCCTCCCAGGCTCTGACCTCTCTCTCACGAGGCAGAAGCCAGGCTTCCCTTTCTTGCAGATTCACATCTGGAGACCGTGGCAGGTCCAGTGGATCTGAAATCCTGCGGGGATGACGGACACGAGAGTGCAAGGCTTCCCTGCGCACACTTACTGGCTTCGATGGCTGGAGTTTCTTTTTAGCACTGGCGGGGCTTTCTGTCTTTATAGACTGGGACGTGTCCTCTGCTAAGGCACCCTCGGGATACAGGAACTTGTACTGGACAGGTTTCTCAGGTAGGACTGTCCTGACCCTGACCTGGCGAGGCTGGATGATGTTATCGGTGTTGTAGACGTGGTTAAAGTTGTATTGACTGTAAGACATGCTGGGCAACCCCCGCTGCAACCCCACCTCCAGAGAGAAGGTCAGGTTAGCGGCAGCCTTTTTCAGATACTGGTTCTTGAGGTGCGCACAGTGCTTCGGGCTGAAGTTGAAGACAGGTGGCACACAGGAGACGGGGGAACAGGCCTCCTTGTCTCTCAGTCTGGGGTAGTAGAAAGTTATGCCCCATCCCAACCGAGAGGAGAATGTTGGAGGGCCATGAGGGGAGAGAGGGGTCTTTTTCTTTTTGGTCCTGGGCATATTTCCCAGCAAATACTGTTTTCCACACTGCTAGTCTAGAGGTAAGGTCTGCAGTGTCCGGATACCTGTAATGTTGTAGGGAGGAACCAGAGAGAGCTCTTTACAAACTGTAATAGACGTCCTTAGGAATCAGATCTTAGATGCACTGGGTGAAGAATTTAGCAGTATTGGATCACTAGCACCTCCAAAGATGCTTAGAGAGGAAGGAAGGCTATTAGAGCTACATCAAGGTTTGGAGGTTCCATAGTGTCCAAATTGACAAGTTATCTGGACCAGCATTATGTCAGGACTATCATTTCCAGTAGACAGCCCCTCCAGAACCCCTGTAGAACCAAAGAAGAATGGCATGTCTCCTGTACAACTGCAGACTGGGACCTTCCATCCCAATAAGTAGCAGCCACAAATATCTCTGCACTTGTAAAACTTGGGCTAGAAGTGTAGGAGTAGGTTGTAGAACATGCTACCAGTTAAAACGTGATAAAGGCTGGAGACGTGACTCAGTGGTAGAGCACCTGACTAGCAAGCACAAACTCAAACACCAGCACTACCAGAGAACAAAAACAAAAAAAGAAATCACTTGTCAGGCTAGAGCTGTGGCTCAAGTGATAGAGTCCCAGAGCTGAGCAAGCACAGGCCCTGAGTTCAGACCCTGGTTACTGGAAAAACAAAATACAAAAACCTGATGAATTTTGAAGATTCCCCTAAATGTAATACTGTAAAATCTGAAAGATGATTCAAACTCTCCTTCTGCCTCTCATATTATGTGACCATAACAACTCAATTAGAAATGAGACATAGCCCAGAGTTTACTAATTTAAGTTCTAATCTCCTATTTACTTTCCCATCCTTTAATCTCATTCTGGTTTGCTACATTCATTTTTTACACATGGTTGCAATTGTTTGAATAATTTGTTCAGCTATTAAGACAGAAGGAGTTGTTTTGGAAGGAAAGACTAAAAAGCCATAAGCCTTGTCATCAGTTGTCTTCCCATTCTCATCTGAAGTTGACAGTGTTTAAGAGAGGGTGGTCAATCTCTGGAGTCATATTTGTTAGATATTGCTAAGGATCTCCTTCATAGTGGAAATCTTGTTAAAATGCAGATTCCTATGTGATATCCCCAAAATGTTGCTTCAGAAGGCTACAAAGAAGCCTAGAAATCTGCCTTTAAAACAAACAAAAACTCTCAAGGAAGCTGGGTACTGGTGGCTCAGGCCTGTAATCCCATATATTCAAGAGGCTGAGATCTGAGAATGGTGGCTCAAAGCCAGCCAGGCAAGAAGTCCATGAGACTCTTACCTCCAGTTAACCACCAGGAAACTAGAAGTGGGACTGTGGCTCAAAGTGGTAGAGTGAGTGCTAGCCTGGATCAAAAGATCTCAGGATCAGCACCCAGGCCCTGAGTTCAAGACCCATGACCAACCAAAAAAATATAGCTCTCAAGGATTAGTATGCATATTAAAAAATAATATAATTTATTATTATTATTGTCAGTTGTGGGGCCTGAACTCTGGACCAGGGTGCTGTTCCTAGCTCTTCAGCTCAAGGCTAGCTCTCTACCACTTGAACCACAGAGCCACTTCTTTTTCTGCTTATGTGGTGCTGAGGAATCAAACCCAGGGCCTCATGCATGCAAGATAAGCACTATACCACTGAGCCACCTTCCCAGCCCTTATTTTTATTCTAAGTTGTATATAGAGGGGTTACCATTTCACAAGTCAGGCAATGGATACATTTCTTTTTGCACGTTAAGCTTATTGAATCCACAGCCCAAAGGGTATCAGTAGGTGATATGATCTGATGAAGCTGTATCTGTATTAAAGATCCTACAGATTGCTTACTTTTGGCTGGGCTACATGATTATGGGGAGATGGAATGTTGTAAAGAGCCAAATTTATCTTGGGCTCTCTTAGCCTTTTCTGATAGTTATTTACCACCAACCTCTGTATCTAACCTAACAATCTTTTGGTTCCAAGATAAACATCTTGGAATATTAACCTTGACACCTCTCAATACCAGCTGAGAACATGATAAGACAACTTCTGAACGCTATAGATTTTCCCTCTTGGCTGTAATCTGTCTACCTCATGTTCCTACCAATGTAATGGGTATTGATTTGTGATTTTTCTCTTGTTCTGGGACTATAAAAACTGGGTTGGTGGCACACATATGTAATCCCAACACTTGATGCTGAAGATGGATGATCACAAGTTTGAAGCTTACCAGAAGTATATAAGGAGACCCTGTCTCAAAGTAAAAACAAAAACAAGAACAAAAAAGTAAAACCCTCATGTATCATCCTTCATGATAGAATATGTAGGGGGCTGGGAAGGTGGCTCAGTGGTAGATTGCTTGCCTTGCATGCATGAGGCCCTGGATTCGATTCCTCAGCACCACATAAGCAGAAAACAAGCCAGAAGTGGCACTGTGGCTCAAGTGGTAGAGCGCTAGCCTTGAGCTGAAGAGCTGAGGGACAGCACCCAGGTCCAGAGTTCAGGCCCACGACTGCCCAGGCCTAGAGTTCAGGCCCACAACCAGACCCCAAAAAAAAAAAAAAAAGTGGTAGAGCACTTGCCTTGCATGCATGAGGCCCTGGGTTCAATAGAATATGTGTCATTCAGGGTAATTTCAATATATGTTTCCAGGCTGTGGTCACTCATGTGGTACAGAGTAAAATATTTTTAATTTTTTTCTCTTTAAACTGGATTCTGGTGGGTCACACCTGTAATCCTAGATATTTAGGATGCTGAAATCTAAGAATCAAAGTTCAAAGCCCGGGTAGGAAAGTCTGGGAGAGTCTTATCTCCAATTAACCCTCAGAAAACCAGAAGTGGAGCTGTGGCTCAAAGTGGTAGAGTGCTAGCTAGCTTTGAGTGAAAAATTTCAGGGACAGAGCCCAGGTCCTGAGTTCAAGTGCCAAGAACAAACAAAGTGATAGAGCCTTGAGCAAAAAAGAGCTCAGGGACAGTGCCTAGGCCCTGAGTTCAAGCCCCACAACAAGAAAAAAAGAAGAGAGACACAGAGACAGAGACAGAAACAGACAGAGACAGAGGGGGGGAAGAAGGAAGGAAGGAAGGGTGGAAAGAAGGAAGGAAGGAAGGAAAATGAATAAAAGGAGTTACTTTACATTGATAGCAATCAAGATCTCAAAGCTTGGTTAATGAGGAAGACCATGGTGATGGAAGGAAGCTCCTGAAAGGGGTTTACCACCACCCCTCTCCTCCTGCTTCCTCCCCCCCTTCAATTGCTCCTCCAAAAGTTCCCCTCATTTTCCCTTTTCTCTTTTGTTGTTTTTTGTCTCAGACTTGAACTTGGTATCCGATGCTTGCTTTTCATCTTTGGCTGGCACTCTACCACCTGAGCCATGCCTCAAACACTCCCCCTTTATTTACTTATTTTCTAACTTCCATTTCTCTGTACAGCTGACTCCAGAAATTACAATGAAAATGCTGCCATAAAGATGATCTGTTCCCCTCGGTATGTCTCCTCTATAATAAGTTAAAAAAAATAAATCTGTTCTATTGTTTTCATCTTAGAGATATGCAAAACTGGGACCTAGAGAGAAGAGACTTGGTTATGGTCACAGTCCTGATTGTTATCTGAATACTGACCCTTTTGATACCTAATCCAAAGTTTTCAACCATGGCAGTCTGCCTGTAATGGTTCTATTAATGCTAACAAACTCCTTTCATGCCCTGGTAATGGTGCCGTGTTTTGAAATTACCTTTAAAAATTACAATTCTTAAGGAAGGTTAAGTCAAATGTGACCTGGTTTCTCAGGTTCCAAAACTGTTAATATTGATCACTAAGCAACCAACTCTTCAGAATTCCATAAGTCTGCTCACAGATACTGGGGGTTCAATTAAGGGCCTCTTCACCTATTTGTTAAAATTCCTTCTTTATAAACTGAGCTTTTGGAAATTGCATAATATTTATGAATTGCTGGCCTAATGGATATTTTAGTCATTCTTTGAAAAGGTAACCTCTAATTCTACACAGTTTAATATTTTCCTGCTGAAAACGGGGAGGGGGAAGCAGAGAATAAATGAATGAGTAGGTCTGGCAGTTTTTTAGATTTCTAAGTAAATAGAATAAATGGTAAAGTATAGCAACCTGGCTGGGGCCTTTTCTATTCTTTTATCTCCTCATTGCTACCTAATCTTTTTCCATATAGACAATTCCACTCCCAAGTCCTATCTAGACAATAAGCCAATAGCATTATTTTTACATAGGGGCACTTTAAATCCTAGTTTTCAAAGAGCATAAATTTAAACTATAGCAACTCTGGTCTGACTGACTGTAATGGTGCATGCCATCTACTCAGGAGGCAGAGATAGGAGGATCACCATTTGAGGCCTGTCTAGGCAAAGTTCGGATCCTATCTACTTATGACCTCCGGAGGGCGAGACAATCCATTGAGACAGACAGTTAAAGGTGGACAAATTAGTTTATTTACACTATTTACACCAGAAAAGGGTCTTGAGACTACCTTGTCCTGGGCTAGATACCCAGAACCAAGAGCAGCCTCAACCACCAAGCCTCCAACTGGCAGTCCTGACCCCCTCCCCCCACCCTTATTAGTCGGTCTGCAAACCTCCAAACTCAGCCCTCCAAAGCTCCAAAGCTCGAAAGGGGAAGGTTTTCCCTTTCTTCCCCTCCTCCTCCTCTGCAGGCCTCTGTGCTCTCCCCAGGCCTGCCCTGCCCGGCTCCGGAGGCGCCTCTCCGCAGGACTCTCTAGAGGAGGCCCCTTATGGCCCCCGGAGAAGGCCCCAAATGACCTTCGGAGGAGGCCCCGAATGACCTTCAGAGGAGGCCCCGAATGACCTCCGGAGGAGGCCCCGAATGACCTTCAGAGGAGGCCCCGAATGACCTCCGGCCCCGAGGCTTGCCTGCCCGGCGAGCCTCCCCTCCTGCCCCTCTCCCTCCGCGCCTACTGCTGTCCCCCCGCAGTAACGGTTTTCCCCTTACTCTCCTCTCCTCAGACTCCCGGGCCTCCTCCAGACTGGTTTTCTCAGGACCGCTCCCGGCCTCCTCCTCTCTCCTCCTTCTGGACTGTTTTCCCCTAACCTCTCCTCGCCTCAGGACCTGGGTTTTCCCCTTACTCTGCCTAACTCCCGCTAACCGCTCCTCCCCCCTCACTGGCCCCGGCGCACGCAGCCGCCTATATAGACCCAGATAGGCTGCGTCCCTCCCCCACGAACG